AAAATTAACCCCCAATTTTTTGTTTATTTCATTTGTTATTGGTTTTTTTTCTTCTTCTTCTTCTTATCGTTCTTCTGACGTGCTCTGCGCTTCCGGAGTTTCACAATTTGAATACCATTATTTTTAGTATTTTAGTGTTTTCAGTTAGTATTTTATTTTCGTTCAATATTTCTCTCTAGTCACTTTCATTCGTATTCGTTCTTCTGCTTGCATGTGAGATTTGGCTGATTTGGCTGCGTTTTGGGCTATTTGCTGCTTTGCTCGGCTGTTAACTAGCTATGCGTGTCGTCGTCGTCGTCGTCATCGTCGTCTAGCCTATGTTAAAACTCGCATTATATCGTTATCTTTCTATATCATCGTATATAATATTTAAGAGAAAAAAAAGTGCGTATTCCAGTGTCTCTCAACTGTTTCCCCATTTTTTTTTTTTCATTTTTCTTCGAAAACTCTTTCACTGTCGTCTAACAATTGAAAACAAAATGTTTTTTGTTTTTTTTTCTTTTTGTTTTATATGTTTCGAGAAAATCCCTAAATTCTTCTTCTCGTTCCTTCTTTATAATAGACAAAAAACAAACGAAAAACAAAATAAATATTGATTTGTACTCACGATGTTTGTACCGCTAAAAACGTTATGTAAATATGTAAATATATGTATATAAAAAAATATGCCCTTTTTAAAAGTATTTTCCCTTCATTTTTGTTTCATTTGTTTTTTTTTTTTTTTTTCATTTTTCAAGTGTTTTTAAGTTTTTTTTTAGTTTTGTTTTGATTTTTTTTTTCTTTAGAGTTAAAACTTTCAAAGGTTTTACGTTAAGAAATTAAAAAAAAAAAATAATAATAGTATATATACATAAATGAATATACATATACATACATACATATACTCGTATTTGTATATATATACATATGAATAAAATAAATAGTAAATTGTAATCGCAAAGCATTTCTTTTGTTGTTGTTGTTGTTGCTGTTGTTGTTGTTGTTGTTGTTTGCTGTCAAATCAAATGTCAAAGTACTTTTGAGGTCCTGGGTGTGTTGCTGTATGCGTGTGTGTGTGTGTGTGGGTTTGTGTGCGTGTGTGTGTGTGTGTTTATAATAAAATGTACATCGAAAGCATTTTATAAAAAATAATAAAAGTTTTCTTTAAATTTGTAATTTAAAATTGATTTTTTTTTTTTCGTTTTGTTTTGTTTTGTTTTTTAGTAGTAAATAGTTTAAATAGTTGTTAAATTTTAAAACGAGTTTATCACACCTTAAACGTTATCAGTACTTGGCACAACTTACAACACAAAAAGTACTTTTAGATAAATTAAATTTTAACTTTCGCTTGTTGTTGTTGTTGGTTGTTGTCGTTTTGTTGTTGTTGTTGGTTGTTGTCTCTCGTGTGAAAAGAAAATGGGAAATTCGCTTGGCTTGTGAAACGAACTGTCGGTCCGGTTGTCTGTCCATGTCTCTGTGTTTGTGTGTGTGTGTGTCTGTGTGTGTGTGTGTCTGTGTGTGTGTGTGTGTCTGTGTGTGTGTGTGTGTCTGTGTGTATATATGCACGTGTATGTATGTGTGAGTGTGTGTGTTTCTGTGTGCATATATGTGCGCCTATGTATGTATGTGTATGTATGTGTATGTGCGTGTATGTATGTGTATGTGTATGTGCATGTGTGTGTGTGTGTGTGTGTGTGTGTGTGTATGTGTCTGTATGTATGTGTGTGTGTATGTGTCTGTATGTATGTATGTGTGTTAGGTAAATGCAATTGATAAACATGAAATTATTTTAAAGATATAATGAGCAAAATTAAAGCAAATTTTTAACAAAAACTTAAAAATCCGTTATAAAATGAGCTGAAGGCATTTGAATCAAGTTTTGAAATTTCAAAGACAACACCCGCCTCCTACCACCACCCAAGTGCCTAAGCTAACCGTTTCTAATAACTGTTGTTGCGAACCGACTAGCGACATTCTCTGTTTTCTTCTTCTTTTTCTTCTTTCAATTGTTTCAATGTCACATACCAGCGTTTGTTCTTATTGTTTTCTTTTCAACTCGCAAGCTAAAATTTAATTTTCTTCAACCCCAACTCTCCTCTCTCTATCTCTGTCTCTTCACTTTCTCTTTAATAACGATATAAAATAGCCTCTAAATACTAAAAAATAATTTCTTTGCTGCTCTCTAAACCTTGCTCTCTCTCTCTCTCTCTCTATCTCTATCTATATCTTTATCTCTCTCTTTCTCGCTGTCGTTTTCAACGCGCACGCTTTTCCAACTCACATTTTGTGATTGTTCTCTGGTCAATCAATCAATCAACTCTTGCTGCATCATTCACATCATTTATAATTATTATTATTAATTTTATTTTATTATAATTATTATTGTTTATTATTATTTGTAATAGTGCTTGGTAAGCCCCTCCCAATTGGTATTCTTTTATTTCTTAAACAGAGCATTTCATAGTCAATAGTTAGTTAGTTAACTCAACCATTTTGCTCGCTCTCGCTCTCTCTTTCTCTTTCTAGCTTTACCTACTCTCTCTCTCTCTTTTCTCTTGCTTCAGCATTTGGAATTCTATGCAAAATAAAAACAACGCAAGTTCAAAAACATTGCCATGTTCTATACTAGTTTATATTTTTGGAATTTTTTAGAAAAATTCGTTTTACGCTTTTTTTTTTTTAGTTTTTTTCTTTTTCTCACATATATAGAGTTTCATATATGTTTACTATCATCATCATAGGTCATTCATTTGGGCTTGCTATATAGCAGTATATAAGTATATATGCTCTTTGTATTGACAACTTTGGACATTTTTCCTATACGCTACACTCAAAACTCGAAGACGCCAACGAAAAAAAAAAATATAAATCACCATCCAATTATAAATATTTATATATCAGAAAGTTCTGGCATGAGTATGATATTCATCACATCAATCAAAGACGTTGGAGATTCACTCGCTCGATTATCTAAAGCTTTTTTTGAATATTGGGATTATTGCCGAATTGAGATAGAGTATCTATCAATTAGATTTGAAACAACCGCCAGTTTTGAAGAAACGTGGGTGAATAACTCGCTTTGGGGTATTCTGAATCCTGAAGGATTAACGTTTTTCACGTCAATTTCGAGTTCGACTTACGAGATTATCTCCAGTTCAAGTTGTAAGAATAAACGACTGTGAGAGAATTCAAACTGTAGATGATAATACATTATTGGATGGTGATTTATTTCCTTCAACGCCAACAGTTAGTAGAAGCCATCAAAATACCCCAAATCGAGTTATTCACCCACGTTTCTTCAAAACTGGTAAGGAAGCGGTTGTTTCAAATCTAATCGATACTCTATCTCAATTTGGCAATAATCCTAATATTCAAAAAAAGCTTTAGATAATCGAGCGTGTGAATCTCCAACGTCTTTGATTGATGTGATTAATATCCTACTCTTGCCAGAACTTTATGATATATAAACATTTATAAATATTACTGTTATATGCCTAGAAAAAATTCCTTTTTATATACACACTTCATAATAAACCTGCCCACCTCCCATGCTCCAAAATTGCTCAAGCTATATATGGAACTGTATAGCAGCTGCTGCTGCTTCTTCTTCTACTTTCTATCTTTCTATCTATATCTCTTTCTCCTTCTTAATAGGAAATAGCAAAACATTAACAATTTTCACTTGATTAATTCCATAATGGGTCTGGTGGTTCGTAGTTCTTGGTTCTTGGTTCTGAGTCTGAGTTTTGGTTCTATGTCTGGATCTGTTCTGCGTACTCTCAATTGGCATGCAACTCAGGGCGTCAACGCTGGCACATATGAGCGAGCTATATGTCTATATCTCTTTAGTGTGCAGTGTTGGTTAACAGCGTAAAGTATCTATCCTCCTCGCCCACTCTCCGAGTTGGTCTTGTTGTTGCTGTTGTAATTACGGTTGTTTTCTGTTATATTCGTCGCTTTGTTTCTGTTTGTTTTAGCTTTCTATGTGTATATCAGGTTTTCTTTTTTTTTTTTTCATTGCTTAAAAACTATCAAAATTATCTTCTCTTTATGATTATTTTTCAATCATTTTTGTTTTGTTTGTTTGTTTGTTTTTCTCCTTTTCAGTTTCTTCTGCAATCGTTCAGCTCATACTTTATATATTTCGTTAGGTTGCTCTTTTCTTAAGCTTTTCCTTTTTTTAACATTTATTTGACTTGCTTTACACTTATAGTTTTTGTAATTTTTTTTTTTTTACTTTAGTTTTTTCTTTGTTTTGTTTTTTTGTCATATAAGATAATGCACTTACATTGAGGTATTTGAATTACTTTTTCAATCTTCGTCAATAGATCTTTCCGCATGTTCTTTTTTCTTCCATTTTGTTGTGTCATATGTATAACAAACAAATAAAAAAATAACTCTGTCCTAAATCTGCCCTAAAATGCATTGAGTTTTCGAATTTGAATTTGAATTTGACTCTTTGTCTGTTATGAAACGGTTTTTTTTTTCCTTCTTTTCTTAGTTATCTTCTGGCCGAAATGTTGATTTTGTTGTTGTTGTTGTTGTTGTTCTATTCAGTTATAAATGCACGAATATAACAGTCTAAAATGCAAGTGTTATACAGGCAAAAGTAACGCAAAAGCCCGAGCTGTTAACTGTCTATTGTATTGTAATCTATATATATGTGTGTTACAGATATATATGTGTATATAGTCTGTATATATATATATATATATATAGGATATATGTATGTATATCTAACTTAATGCAGTAAGAAAACAAAAAATGGATAATATTGATTAATCTATGTGAATATGTATGTATTTATGTAATTAAAGATGCTTGTATATGTAATATGTATGTAATGTAATGTAATGTTTAACAAACAAAAAAATTGTAAAATATGTATATAAAAAAAAAAAAAATAGAAGTCATATATGTGGTTAATAATAATAAAAAATTTCACGTTATTATTCTCTATTTTCTATGTCTATTTCAACAAAATTGGGCTATTGTCTTGGCTCCTGTTTGATTGTTTGTTGCTCCGATTCAGTTACTTCAGTTACGATTTTAGCAGCTATGGAAAATTAACTGTTTTACACTATATATTTGTATGTATAGGCATATACATCTAGTTTATGTTTGCTGTGTAAATTATAGGAAAGAAAACGTATGGGGAAATAATAATGACAAGTTCGGTACATTAATTAATGTACATTGATGTATGTACGAAACGCCAACATTTAAACTATGAATGAAATCTTAAAAAGAAAAAATTTTAAAAAAATAAACAACATTTGGCCCGCATTTCGGCCTGAAATGGGGCCGCATATTGTAATGTGTTATACATATATATATATGTGTGTGTGTATACATATGTTGTGATTTATATAACAGCTTGTTAACGTTTCTCGATTCTATCTTCATCATTTTTTTATAACTTTTCTTTTAATATAACACTTTTATGTAACACTTGTTGCTTGTTTTTTTCGTTATATAAAAATTAACATTTCAGCACCGTTATTTTTTGTTTTTGTTTCAAGGCAAACAGATTACAATGCTCTCCTCTCATCTCCTCCTCTACTCTCTCTCTCTCTCGCTCTATCTATCTATCGTGGACTCTTTCTCCTCCTCTCTCGCTCAAACAATAGTAACAATTCAGTTTCATATATAATATACTCGTAATCTCAAATTCTCAATTCTCGAAAACTATTATACACAGCTGTACACTAACATTGCTTGCTTGGCATTTAGGTGAGAGACACAACTTAAATATAAACTATATATTCGTAGGACTATATATGTGTATGTGTGTGTGTGTGTGTGTGTGTATTTTAATATTCTTTTTGTTTCGTTTTTTTTTTTCAGTTAAGTTATACTACAAAGTTGTCTGCGTCTCATCGCTGGCTCGACTTGGCAGGTATAACAGTTGTTTCTTAGCTGTTATACACAGAGAGTACAAATAAAATACATATGTATGTGTGCTTGTGTGAGACCTCATGTGTGTGTGTCTGTGTGTATATATACACCTATGGAAAACTCTTATTTCGACCCTCGAATTGAACACTTGAGTGTTGTATAATTTATGGTATTTACGTTTCATTACATTCATTTTTAGTGTTGTTTTTTTTTTTGTGTTTTTGATTTATTTTTCTTTTTAGTTGATTTCGCCTTTCTTTTAGGTTAGTTTTAAGTGAGGTTTTTAAGTTTAGTTGTAGTTTTTTAATCTACTTATAGGTTGTTGTTGTTGTTGTTGATTTTTGTTTTTAAAAGGTGGGCTAAAGTTGACACCTGCTTGAAATTTGGGTTGTTTTTTTTTCCATTTACGAAATATAATGTTAGTATTTAATTATAAAATACAGTTTTCAATTTTGTTTTGTTTTCCTTTCTCTGTTTCGCTGCTGCCTGTCCTTCTTCTATCTGATTTGTATACAATGAACTGTTACAAATTTTATGCAAAATCAAATGCAATTCGCTTAATAAAATTAAAGAGAAAACAATTATAAAACACACACACAAACCAATTGATTGGTTTTTGTTTTTTTCCGTTTGTTTTTCACTTTCGTTCTTTTGTTTTTCTTATTTGTTTTTGTTTGTTCACTTAATTTACGCTTACTAAAAATGATTTAAAAAAAAAATAAAATAATTCATAAAAATGTTTAATTTTACGTGTTTTCTATATATATATATATATTCATATATATAAATATATTAAAAAAAAAAAGAATTTACTGCGACTACGGCATAGTTTTTGAATTTTCTTTTCGTTAATTCTTTCATTTTTTTTTTTCTTACTTTTGTTTAGTTGTTTTTCTTTTTGTTGTGTGTTACTCTCCTCCTCATTATTTTCATGACGCAAAATATTCATCTGCAGAGGGGGACTGGCTTAGTGGTAAAAAGCGGCTGCATAAAGATCGGGCATCTATCTCTCTTCAATTATGTGTCTGTGTGTGTGTGTGTGTGTGTGTGCAGTGTGTGTTTGTTGTTCAATAGAAATGTTAGGCAATTTTATAAACATAATATATATACGCTTGAGCCGTCACACCATGAGAAACAACAATTCAATGCATTGCCATTCATCATTTAGGCGCCTCATGCTGGGAACACCCTGTGTTTTATTTGATAAGCAAGCATTTGACAGTTGTACACATTGCCTGTTCGCTCTCCTTCCCAACTGCTAGAGAGGTCTGTCTAGAGCTGCTGCGCTGCTGCTCCTCTGTTGCTCGCTCCTCTTGTTGAGCTGCAGTGGGACGAGAGTTGCTCTTGTTGTTGCTGTTATTCTTCATGCTGCTCCTGCTGATCTTCTGCTGATCTTGCAATAGCTGCAAGCGGTTGTTGCCAAATGCAAATCCAAATGTGGGCTTTGTCTGTCTTCTTGCTATTGCCATTATGGTAGATTTTTGATGACGTTGTTGTAGTTGTTGTTGTTGTTGTTCAAGTTGAGCTTTGCCCGCCTGTTCTGCACTGCCTCCGCCCCTGCCCCAGTCCCACACACGGCTGCTGCAGCTTCTGCTTACTGCTGTGAACTCGCCAGCTGCTGCTGCTGTTGTTGCTGCTGCTGCTGCTGTTGTTGTTGTTGTTGTTGGGTGGCAGCGGATGCATTGTTGCCGGGCGGCGGCGACGGCTGCTGCTGCTGCAATTGATGTGAGGACGCTGTCGACGACGCCTGCTGCTGCTGATGATGCGCAGGTGGCGCCGACGACGCCGACGACGATTGATGATGTGATTGCGGCGGCAGCGGCTGCTGCTGCTGCGACGGCGACTGCTGCTGCTGCTGCGACTGCTGTTGTTTTTGCTGCTGCGGCTGCTGCTGTTGAGTCCCACTTGGCGCAGCGCCGGCTAATGTCTGTTGTTGTTGCTGTTGCTGTTGTTGTTGTTGCAATTGTTGTTCTTTGGCAGCCTTCTGTTTTTTGGTCACTGGTGGCGGATTTGTCGATAGCATCATGGCACGAATTCGTCGCTGTGCAGACTACAAAATCAATTAAAAAAATTGTTAAACAATCCGTGTGCCATCATTATTCCATCCATCCATCACACTCCATGCGATGTCTCACCTGAACGCTGTAGAATGGCCCAATGATGTGCACAGGTGTCTCTTCATCGCCGCCTGAGGGTGGCGCCAGCGCATGCTCTGGCAGCTTAATGACGCTACCCGTCACACGTTGCAACTCACGCACGTTCTGTCCGCCCTTGCCAATGATGCGTCCGACCTGGCGGATGAACGGAAATGCAATAATACAATAAATGGAATAGTTGAGAATATACGAATGGAGGAGAATGCAGCCACTGCGGCCTACGCACCTGGGAGCTGGCGACAAGCAGCTCAACGGTTAGGCGCACATCGTCCGTGCCGCACATGAAGCCCTCCTCGCGCATCTTCTCAAATATCATGTACTGCGCCTTCCACTGACCCTCCGGTGTGCCAACAATCGTGACCTTGCGCTCCGTTTGTTGGTCCAGCGGCTTGTCGGCGTCGAGGGGCGCAATTTTGAGGGATGCGCTCGAGAAGCGCATTATGCTGCGTATGTGCGAGCCCTTGGTGCCAATGATGGCCCCAACAGCATTGTTTGGTATATAGAGAAACGTGGTCTCCTGCATATCGTTGGGGAAGGCCGGTGGCACCACGCTGGCCGGTGTCTTGGACATGGCAAAGCTTTGACACGAGGGGAACGGCATGCTTGTGTTGAAGACCATGCCGTTGCCCGGTGTCGACATCATTGCCATGGGATGGAGACCGGGGAACATGAGGCTCTGAGGCGCCATTGCCTGCAAATCGTTCTCATAGCTTTGGCGCAGTTTGGTGCTGATTTGGTTCTCGGCACGGGACATGTTCTCGATGAGGCCCTTCACCGTGATGATACGCTCCAGATTGAAGCTGTTGATGTCGTTGATCGAGCTAACGGTTATCTTCGTATCCGTATCCTGCATAATGCGTTTAATCGTATTGCCGCTCTTTCCAATGATGCGACCAATTAAATTATTATGGGCGAGTATCTTCAAGCAGATCTCACTATAACAGAGAGAAAGAGATAAAAGTTATATATATATAGATAGATCGCTCTATAATGTATTGCCTCTCTTACCCCTTATTCGTGGACAGTGCCTCTTGCTGCATAACCTCCAGTATGCGCTTGCACGCATTGGTACAGTTTTCCGGATTGCCATAAATCGTAATGGACTTTTCGAGGGAGCCAACATTCTCCTTGCGATGGACATCGACACGGGCCCGACTCTGTTGTGTGATGGAGCGTATGGTTGTGCCCTGTCTGCCAATGATGGCGCCCACCATCTCGCTCTGCACCAGAATGCGTAGCGGAAAGTCCGCCTGGCGGCCGGGTCCCGGCATTCCTGGATACGGATTGCGCTGATTGCGTATGCTTCGGCGTTGATTTTTGTCCAATTGCTCGGCGTGCAGTTTACTGCCCTCGAATTCGACGCCGTTCAGGCCACCAGCAGCTCTATGGGAGGCGACGGCGCGACAAAAACAAACAGCGAAAACAAAACAGAAACGGAGGGAAAATAAACACGAATTAATACAAAACGGAACCAAAAATATTATACGAAAACAAAGAGAAGAGACGAGAAAAATTCGATCAGTGTGAGAAATGCGATAGAAGGAACAGTTTTGATGAATATACACATATGTACGTATGTATGTATGCATAAGTGTTGTGTATATACATATACATATATAAATAGATATATATATATATATAATTAGATAACGATTAGGATCAGATCGGCAGGCAATGTATATATCTATATATCACATATATAGTTGCTACAATCACAAACGCCCTAGACACACACGACAGCCCCCACTTCCGACCCCGCCCACAGTCACAGCCAAGCCTCCTTGCCGCACCCACCCCTCAATTCTGCTCGAAATGGTGGAAAGGTAAGATACTACTGAGATTTGAATGGGTTTTGATCAATAATAACTATACACATATACACATATATACATACATATACATCACATATACATACATACGCATATTGAGAGGTTCGAATTTCGATGAGACTAATTGATAAATAACGGAAAATCAGCGATCTTTCGATAATTTCCCCATCTATATACACACATGCATATATATATATGTATCTATATAGGCATACATATATACATGGACATGTGTATGTATGCTCAACGCTTAACACGAGATTCTGAGCCATGTCAAAACTCAAAAATCTGATATTAAGCCAATTTTGATAATTTTATTCGAATGTTTTAGATATGGTTTTTCTTTTTTAATTTATTGCTATATATATATATATATATACTTTTGTTTTATTTTAGAATGTATATACCTTTGCGCCTGCTCAGGATTTTCGAATGTTATATGTACTGTTTGAGTATTTTGATCCTTACTAGAAATAGCCTCACACTGTTTGACGATGCCATAGGGCTTCAGTAGTGGTTCGATGTCTTCGAAACGTGTTTGCAGCGGTATGCCGCTTATTAAGATTTTTGATGTCGTAACACTGTGAAGAAAATAGCGTAAAAACACACACAAAAACAAAACAAAACAAAACGAAAAAAAAGAAAGAAAACAAAAAGAGAGAACAAAAATAAGAAAGAAAAAAATCAAAAAACAAAGAAAAATTAAAAGAGAAAAACACACAGTAACAAAAATAAAAGTTCAGTTAAGATAAAATTGTTTCATTTTTTTTATTTTAAATTAAAAAATTAAAAAAAAAAAAATAAATAAAATAAAAAGGAAAAACAAAAAAACAGAAGTAAAACAGAAAGAAAGAGGAGAGAGCAGTTTGTCAGTAAAAGAGTCAGCAGCGTAACTAACATCTAAAGAGCGAGATAGCGAGCATGAATATTATAATAGAGACTGCAAGGATTCGTTATGCTGGATTTATATAGAGTATCGTAAGTTTTATATTTATTTGATTTTATTTTTCATTTATTTTTGATTTGGATTTGAAATTAATTTTATTTTCATATTTTCTTTGCATTATTGGGGGCTGTGTGCTGTCGGTGTGACGATGATGAATGATAATGCAACAAGATTCGAATGGCAAAATGTATGATGTGTGAGAGAGAGAGAGAGAGAGAGAGAGGAAAAGGGAGAGAATAGGAGAGGTTCAGAGAAAGGGAGAGAGCGAGCAGAAGAAAAAGCAAAACAAATATATATACATATATATTTGTATATTTGTATATTGATGCTTCACGACCATTTAAAAGCTCTAACTAAACTAATTGTGGGCGTTGCTAATGGGCAAATGATATGTATACAAATATATGAATTATGCCATATATGAATTAAACACTTTTACATTTACATTCACAAAGGGAGCATTACAAAACATAGATAGCAAATATGTGTAGCTTAACATATGCGAGCAAGAGCAAGATAGAGAGAGAGAGAGAGAGAGAGAGAGAGACAGAGAGAGGGGAGGCTGATAACATCCTGTTGCCATAACGGCATCGCAACTGCAGCCAGGCCGGCAGACAACTCGAGCAAAATACTAACTAACAGCAAAAACTCGATTCTCATTTTGAAAAATCAACAACAACAACAATACAAGATCAGCAACACTGCAAAGATCTCGATCGGCTGCTGCTGCTGCCATCAACGCCGCCGCCGTCGACTGGAATGTTGCACATTTAATATCGTGTTTATTTTTCTTGGAAGTAATTTCACTCCAGTCGCAGCCAACGTCGCCACAAAAACCCAAAAATAAGAGAAAACAATACAAATTCAAGTCGACGTCTAAATACCCTTGTTGTGTATATTAAAGATATTTTGGAAAATATATTTAAGGTACAAGATCATAGAAAATATATTTATATTTATATTTATATTTATATTTATATTTATATTTATATTTATAT